AAAAACTTAATCGTCATATTTGTAGAGTCTTATTAACTTATAAGATAATATAATTATTTTAAAAATCTACGAAGATTCAAAAATCTCACGTGACTAAAAGATATAATTAGTAAATATGATTACAATTTGAATACATTAATTTGATTAATTAATTTTTCTAAATTGTGTATTATATCATTATTTACAAAAATTATTTATTTATTATATAAATTGAGAATCACGATGTCTGTGAAGATTTATTATCCCACGCGATGATGTAATTAATTTAAATCTCTCTGAAAATTCTTGAAACCTCACATAAGACTTAAATAAATTATTAATTTAGATTATAAAAGAGAGTTAATTTTAATGATGAGCTTTCGAAACCTATATTAACATATAAATTTTGCTCTCATATCTGTGAAACCTTATTGATTTACACGATACGAGATTATCCTAAATATCTACGAAGATTCAAAGTCTCACACAATATAAGGATTACATAATATTCACTTTAAATATATTTTAATGTGTAATTATACAACGTACATTTTTTAAATATAGAAATCTTAATCGTTATACTTGCGAAGCATTATTGACTCACACGGTATGCGATCATTTAAATTTCTGTGAAGATTCTCAAAATCTCATACAACAAACATTAAAAATTGATATTTGTGTTTAACATTGGGGCATAAAAGAGTATATATGTTCAAGAATCATTCATTTAAATATAAAATTCACAGAAGCAATTAATAAGGAGTAAACCGTTTCCGCTTCTGACTAGGCCATGTAACCTTAAACGATTGGCTTAATGCTTCAATGATATTCAAAAGGAAGTAACATTAAATAATATGAAGCAGCAATGTTATTTCATTAAAATGGGAAAACCAAATATGTAAGTCATGTAGCAATCACAATATTATTCTCACAAGTAAAGCTTTTAATTTTTTCAAAAATAATCAACACGTCCCTTCAACAAAATAATAAGAAGCAGCCTGGTCTATACATTTTTTGTTGGTGCCAATATGAATCTAAAATCTAATTTCAATCTATGTCACAAATCACTCACAACTTGGGGCACAAACAAAATGGAAATTTGCTCGAAGCTAAATTAAACTAGTTAGAACAGAAAAACCTCACTTGAACTATACGAAGAAAAACAATCAACCATCGTACTAATTACGTATTATGATTGGTAAGAATAGTAAGATCAAAGAGACACCTAACTATCTAAAACTCATCATAACTCATAAGCACCCATGAGATCTAAGCCGATCAAATCATATACCAATCTCACTCAATATGTAGATAGCGATTAAATAGAAATATGACAATTCAGGGGCCAAGAGCTAAACTTTCAATGATCAAATTTTATATTCCTAAAAAGATATGATCAAATTTTATATTCCTAAAAAGATGAAAGAACAGGAAATGCAGGTTACCAGCCAATTAAAATAAGGAATGAAGCCAACAATCTCCATCACAACGAACATAGTATCAGTTTAATCACCGATGGAATCACCATCCCCCTCTTGTCCACCATCAGAGACAGGGAAAACAAAAGAAGTGAGCATACAAGCCCTGATTGCCACAACAAACGGACCATCAACACCGAAGTGAACCTATTCAAGATGCCAAATTCAGAAAACCAAGCGTAATATGAGTTTGAGAGAGGTAAAGTAGAGGCAAAGGGTTTGATGAAACAGTGCTGCATGCACCATTTTTCTCCCGTGGAAGATTGCAGTGTCCGTTTTTGTAAACTGTTAAATGAATGACAGCCTACGCATGCCTCGCCTGTGTCCCTTGAGCTGAACCATCTTCTCCCTTTTTTTTTTTCCTTTCAGTTCCTCTTCCAACTACCACTGCTTTCCCACTCTCGGTCTCTCTCTCGCTCCAACCTCCAGAAATCTCTGCTGTTGCTCCCTTACTTTCGGTCTCTCTCTCGCTCTAAAGAAATCTTTGCTGTTGCTCTCTCACTCTTGGTTTCTCCCTCACTCTCAGTCCCTGTTTAGACTCGCCTACTCTCGGTCTCTTTTCTTTCTCCAACTTCTTCTTCTTCACTCGATCTCCTCTTGCTTCAGCCTCTCGTTCTCTGTCCTCTCTTGTCCGTTCTTTTCTGTTATAAGTGTTGCATGCAGCTCGTTTGTTTGACTCCTGCGCTTGCGTCCGTGAGTTTCTCTTCTGCTCTTTGCTTTGTGTGTGGCCAAGTCTGCTCTCTCTCTCTGCGTTTCCATCTACTGCGTGAGTGCTATGTATGTGTTGCATTTCTGCTCTGTTTTTCTATTCTTCTACAACGTGCATGTGTTTCTTCTGCAGAGTGAAGCTTTTTTGTTGCCTTCCTTTGTGTTTTCGTTTGCTTTTCTTCTGCTTTTTGCTTTGCGTGTGGTCGAATCTGCTCTCTCTCTCTCTCTCCGTTGCTATGTTCGTACGTTTCGTTTCTATTCTTCTGCCTCTGCTTTTTGCGCGCGCGAGTAAACTCTCGCTTTTCTTCTCTTCGTCCGTGCGTCCAGGGATGTCCATAGGTTCGGTTTGGTCAAACTGAACCAATTGGTTTAAACATTAGTGAAACTTGATCAGTTTTAACTGAAATCGGTTTGGTTCGGTTTTATTTCGGTTTGATTAAGGTTTGGATCAAACTTTAATGAATTTATTTTTTTTCTTTTTTCCTGTCTTTGTAATAGTTAGACTTTTTTATTTTGAATTGATTTATGCATTATTAGCTCTTTTATTGTATGGAAGGTTCTTACTTATCTTGTGCTTTATTTCAATCACAATCATAATATATTTATGAAGATTAAAAAGTTTATGAACTTTGATTAATTACATATCATATGCATACATGTTCATCTTTTTTTTTTTTTTTTGCTTGGTCTCAAATGTATCAAAGATAAAAAAAAATTATGTTTATATCATATTAATCTTATTCACCTCTTCATTTCATTGACCTTGAATGTACTATATTTTCATGATATCATCAATCTACTCCCATAATCCAATATATATATATATATATATAATATAAATTAATTTTATGATTGCAAGCAGCAAAAAATCAAAATAATGATGATCAACTAATCATTTTTATAATTATATTAGATACATTATTTGAATCTTCGTAGAGAAAATTCATCACCTAATAGCAAGTAGCAAACATACAAATATCTAAAGACTAAATATCCAAAATTTCAAATATCACACTATTTAATATTAATAATTACACTTATAGTTCCATAAATATATATATTCAAAACACAATATCCAATATCCATCTCTCAATATCATAATATCCACTTAAATTATATCAACTATCTATTATCCAAAAAAGAACGTTTATATTTAATTAGATACATATTATATAAATAAATATTATTTTTAATCAAGCTTGGTTCAAGTTTGGTTCGGTTTTCATATCTCAAAACCGAAACCAAACCGAACCAATCGGTTTGTGTATCATAAAAACCAAAACAGACTTGATTAATGGTCAATTTTGATCGGTTCATTTCGGTTCGGATCGGTTTGGTTTGGTCTGTTCGGTTTGGATTGGTTTTGAACACCCTTACGTGCGTCTACTCTTTTGGTTTCTTCTCTCAATCTCATGCAAAATGCACGCGCTTGGCATTCTGCTCCTTTTCTCATTTCCTCTCTCAATCTCATGCAAAATGCATGTTTTGCTCCTTTTTTTTGTTTATTAACTTCAAGAATTAAATTAAGAGGAAGAAAAAAAAACTAATTTTGAGTTAAACTGGAATATCTCTCTGCTTTTTTTTTTGGAAAACAACAAGATTTAAGGAAAGAATCTTAAAAAAAATTAACACTCAAAAGTTAATTTTCAATACTTTTAAATGATTGGGATAATTTGGGAGAGATTTTTAAAGATTTAAGATTATTTTTTTAATTTTGTTAGATTATTATTTTTTTAAAATATAATCATAAAAAGGATTAAATTTTATTTTTGTATTTTTATGTTTTTTGGTTATTTTTTAATGAACTAAAAGAAATAAAATCCTAACCAACAAAATATTATCTAGGTTAAAATAAAATTAAACCTATTAATTAAAGATTTTTTTATTTTGAAAATATAATCCTAAAAGGGATTAAATTTTATTTTTGTATTTTTATATTTTTTTGGTTGAATTTATTATTATTTTTATTAAATGTAAAATATGCCCGAACAAAATACAATATTCACACCCTTCCTATGACTTGAGAAAATGCTAGAATGCATTGAACGGAGGATGAGTAAAAGCTCTTAATATTTTAGTAGTCTTTATGGATGCTGTATTCATTGCAAATACACTTAATGAAGACACCTATACAAATATGGATGGGGCCACTCCTATGAGATTGTGGCAAAATCTCTAGAGAATTTGTTAAAACCAAGCATGCGCATGGCTATAACGTGCAAAATCGTCATTAACAGTTAAGATTATGATGGTATAATCTAATTAATAAGACTTCTAATATATGCTCAAGATCTGTTAGTTCAAAAACAAATTTACACGAACTTTTATTAGTTTAGGTTTGATTCAAGTTGATAGACACCAAATTCAAAGTGATTATCCTCCATGTAAATAACTTAGAGGATAGTAAATCCTTTTGACATGTGGGGGATTGTTGTCGAAATTTTGTGTGTGTGTGTCAAAAGAAGTTTCACATTGCCTAAATATAGAGAGGTCTTGGTGTATAAATATGAAAAATGAAATGAACTTGGAGGAGAAGTAGGCTGGCACACACAAAACATGCTAACTCAAGACAATCGCAATTGAAAACAACCGATTCCCCCCTATGTGCAAGTTCAAGAGGCATTAGTTTCTTTTTATCGAATTATTTTTGCAAAAAATAAATAATTATTTATTTTAATGAGCTTACCTGAAAGCCTTATTTTTTACTGATTCAAATTTAAATTTGAACCTCAATCATTTTTAGCCTTTAACCAAAATTCTTAAACGAATTTTGTTAATCAATTTCCTTTACATGTTTGTCCCAATGGCTCCAGACATTTGGTTAATGGCATTTTATGTTTCTATAACCAAGGCTTAATGGTGTTTAATCCAGTGATTATGATCCCAACGTTCATATCTATGGTTTTGACCTATATATAAGCGTGGGTGCAGACAGGACAAGGTGCCGAGCTCTTGAGTTTTCAAGCCACTTCTTCCCTCCTCTACCTTGACTGTGTGCTGTGTTCATTTGAGTTTCTTTCTTGTTAGTGCTGCTGTTTTGTTGCCTTGCTTGTGTAAGACATGCTTGTTTAACCCTGAAAAACTATCAATCCATCATCTCAATGTGCCAGAATAATTTTTAAGGACAGTGTCCTTTAGCACGACTCAAGCAACTTTCATTTTTCTCGCTGTCGCCAACAAAATCTTGTGAAATTCAAAATCTACAATCATGTCCTATGGGACTTGAATGTCATTTAAAATTAAGATATAAAGACAATAATACTCTTATTAAAAATACATTACATTACTCAAATAATATAATTTATAACTACTTTATTAGTAATTTATAATTATCATTTTAACTTTTTATAACTCTTATTTCACATATTCAATAGTTAAGCTGATCATATATTACAAGTTTAATATTAATTATATGCAACTACTCCATCAATAATTTATGACTATTACTTCAATATTTTACAATTATAACTTCACATATTTAATTGTTAACGCGTTACTACCAAAGTCTAATAATAATAACTATTTCATCAGTAATTTACAACTATCACTTCAATATTTTATAAAAAAAAATTACATATAGGTCCTGTTGAGCTAATTTATTTACAAATAAGTCTCGCGAAATTTAAAAACCATAACTAGGTCTCTTGAGACCTGAGTATAATCTAAAATTTGGGTAAAAAGACAATAATGCCCCTATTGAACATATATACATTACATCAGTCAAATAATTTATAACTATTTCATTAGTAATTTATAACTATAACTTTAACTTTTTATAATTGTAACTTCATATATTCAATAATTAAATTGATCAGTTTAACTATTGAATATGTGAAGTTATAGTTGTAAAAAGTTAAAATTATAGTTATAAATTATTAATGAAGTAGTTGTCAACAATCAATGTGAAACTTTATTTGTAACGCATGATTATTTAATTATTGGATATATGAAGTTATAGGTATAAAAAGTTAAAATTATAATTATAAATTACTAATGAAGTAGTTATAAATTAATTATTTAATTGATGTAATGTATATTTAAGAAGGGTGTTATTATCTTTACAGCCTAATTTTAAATTACAATTAGATCCTAATAGACCTAGCTGTAATTTTTGAATTCTGTAGGACTTATTTATAAATAAATCTACTCCATGGAACTTATACATAATTTTTCTTATTTGATAACTATAACTTTACATATGAAATAGTTAAACTGATCGTGCATTACTAACTGTAAGGGAAGCATTGTCTTTGTACCCTAATTCTAAATTATAATCAAGTCTCAAGGACCTACTTGTAGTTTTTAAATTTTACCAAATTTATTTGTAAATAAGTCTATTTTATGGGACCTGTTTACGTAATTTCCCTTAAAAAAATATCTTGTCACCGAAGGTAAAAGCATAAACGGTTACCCTCGTGGCTCATAGGCTCGTTCACCAGATCCATGGAATCTTCCCTCCGTCTCCGCTTGAAAGATATTGGACTGTTGGAACGTTAAGTCGTCTTTCTAATGAGGAGGAGGAGGAGAATCCGTTAAAAGTGGAGCAGCTAGTAAATCAACATCTATAAATGAAACATAGATATGGAAGGGAAGAGAGGAAATACAGAAACGAAAAAAAAAAAGAAAAATTGTGTAGATCGTGCGGAAAGTTACCAGAGAATTGCTTGGTTGGTGAAAGAGACACGATCACGAATCTAGTTTATGATAGAGATCAGACAAGAAAGAGATTTATTTGTGAGGCTCTTGCTGCTTCTATATACTGATCATGAATGAAGGTCTATAGTGAAATAAAAGTATGGCTACCTCCAGGAAAGTTAATGGAATCTTCTTCAGATCGCCTCAGAAAGAACCTATCAGAACAGAAATTTATTCGTAATAATTGAACAAAACAGAGAGAATATGACGCAGTGAGGCTATAGTGAAGGCAGCTGCCAGGAAAGTGAAGGGAAACCAAACTGGAAAAAAGAGGAAAGCAATCTAACGCAGACAACAAATCCTCCAGGTGATGAAGTATCTTTTTTTTTTTTTAAGTAAAAAAAGTACTTTAATGCAGATAACAATCCTCCGAGTGAAGTATCTTTTTTAAAAAAAAAAAAAGTACTTAAGTTTGGGGGACGATTTTTATAAAAAAGAAAACAAAAAGCCTTGGGCTACGAGAAAGTGGTGATGAATTGTTTAAATAACCGCAAGTATAATCATTTTTATCCCGTCTCCGCTCTACATTTTTTAGACCCTAAAAGAAAATTTTGATGAATTAAATTCAAGACCAATCCTCCCAACCAAAACAAAAGTTTTATGGATTAAAGTGATAGTAACACGCCAGTAGTGAAGTTATTATGAAATATAAAATTCATAATAAGTGGCATCATTCTGGCACTTCTTAAATGATAAATTTGGTCTTATTTTTTAAAAACGAGATAATTAGAAGATTATGTTTATTTTGGATAATACATCTATTAAAATAAAATTTATTTAAAATACAAAAGATAATATAATATTCACACCAATTTTCTTTTAAAAAAATATAATTAGGAAAGATAAATTAATCTAAACCCACTATTCACTTTGAAGAGAGCCAATTCACGTCAATTCCTGGTTTTCCTATGACATTTAGCCCAACTTAGTCTGAATTAGGCCCGTCTATAACTTTTCTCCTCTACACTTCCATAACCTTTTTGGGTCTCACAGACTGAAAACACCATCTGTTCATCAACTGAGTCACAGTATATCAAGTAAACCGCTGTCTGCTTCACAGTGAATCCATTCCCAAAACTGCAATCACCTCCACTTCATCATCTGAGCTCAGATTTGTTATTATTTCCTTCCACTTTGCTTCTCCAAAGGAAGTTACTCTGTCTCTTTCATAGAGCAAAGTGGTTTTCTTTGTATAATTTACAATCAATAACAAGTTAACTGAAGATTCAGGTGACATGTTGCCCGAATCACCTGCAGGAAAATATACATAACAAAGAGCAATCCCTTTGAAATTAGGACCACTAACTCTAGGCACTTTGAATTTTACAGAAGCCCCTTTTCCCTTGAAAGTTAGCCAATAAGGATAATTATCACCAGGGAGAATACAATCATCGCTGCACTTTGCAAGAGTCAATCCCTACACAATAACAAAATCACAACCTCTAATTTAATTCAACTATATAAAATATGCAAAGAGAAATGTTTTATTGAAAAGAAAAACAAATTGGTGAGAGAGAGAGAGAGAGAGAGAGAGAACCTGTGTAATACACTCTGAAAGAGTAGTAATGTCTTGGTCGGTCATTCCAATTTTAATCAAAAGATATCTCAAGCAATTATCTAGCCTTGAGATGTCCTCATTACAATTTGTGGCAAACAAGGAAGACATCATTTTTGTGATTCCTCTGTTCACTTGAGTTTGAATATCCAATCCATATTCCAATAAAAGAGATTGTTGCTGAGGTAGGTTACTTGGAATTGATGAAGCACCTGGGATGCTACTATTTAGCATATCCCACAAAATTGGAGATGGCATGCCCCCATACGTTGGAATAAGAGATAGAGCACTATTTGTTGGGGACATCCTAGACCAAATGAGAGAAGGAAACACGTCCTGTGTTAATCCTTCATAACCGCAAAGAGATATATATCCAATCCTTTTTAATCTTATTAATGAAGAAGGAACTTGTGTTATTGCAGTGTTATCAGCAATCAATGTTGTCAAAGAATCCATTTGCTCAATGTCCTCCTCTAACTTTTCAATCATCAGGCAACCAGAAAGAATGAGAGTTTTTAAACTTTTCAGTTTATAAATGCTTCCTGGGAGACTACGAAGGCCCGTGCAATCCTTTAAATTTAGCAGAACAAGTTCATCAAGAAGCCCAATAGAATGATGTATCATGGATAAACTTGGACAATCTTTGAGGATCAACTTTTCAAGGCTTGGTAGTTTTGAAAAATCAGGAGTTTGCTCCAAGCATGTACAGTGGCTGAGATTGAGGATTTTAAGTCTCTCCAATAACTAAAAGAAACCATTTCAAAGTGGAATTAGAGAAAAAATATATATTATACGAGGAAATATTTATGCGTAGAATCCTTCATCTCAAGTAAACATTTTAATCTAGAACTTGTTGTCCTCAAACTTTCCCTCAGTTATTTAGTTCCAAAACTTCAACTTGAATCAATACCTATATTTCTTGACTCTTAACAACTAAGTTCTTATAATTTCTTGACTCAAAATAACTCATTCCTTATACTTTTTTGACTCAACAATTCCATGCCTATAATTCCTTAATTCGATAAACAACATGAATTGAGTTATAACGACTTAAAGTTCAAGAATGGAATCAATGATTAGGGGAAAGTTTAGAGACTAAAAGTTATATTTTCCCTTGAAAGTATTTTTCAATTTATTGAAAACTAAATCATGTGAGTATGCTACAGTGATTAAATTCTTGGTAAGAGTTATGCCTCCAAAGAGATGCTCACAAGCTACCGACCGGATTAGTACAGGTTGAAGACCTAGGATACCGGAGCAAAAGCAAAAACAAAAAGAATATCAAATAATTAATCTAGAAAAAGTAACACAGTTTTGATGGTGCAATTGTTAGATGTATAGCAAGTTACAAAAAGGAATGAATTAAACAAAATATAGCTGCTTTATTCTATCAGAAGGGAAGAAATAGACATGAAGCAAAGAATGATTCTCATTGATAAAATGAATAATACATGTATTCATAGGGATGATTAACTCTAACCACTTATAAAAGGATTTCTGTAGTAGGATTTTACATCGATTGAAAACAAACTGATAGGGAAAAAAAGTGATTGATAGTATTTTTGTAAATAAGTTATTGTGGTGTTCGACTTTCTACACCAGTTCTTAAAGCCACTGGTGTAGAAAATATTTTTACTTACTTTCTACAATGATCAGACACACAATCAGTGTATAACAGCCCAGCCCAGCCCAAGATTTTTTTTTTCCATATGTTCCTTAACCAACTGGTGTATATTTTTATTTACTGCAATCCCACAAATTTGTAGTATTTTGGTATTTATTCACAGAAACAAGGCTTTCTGCCAAATAGCAATTAAGTAATTTTGTTTTTTTTTCATTTTTTGCTGTATATGGCTCAAAAGGATAATGAAGCAACTATTAGTTAATTTACATACCTGGGGTTCCTTCCACATTCGAGTGAGGCTGCTGTATTTCAAGTCAACAGCAACTAAATTTTCTTGATAAAAGTTGCTAGGAACGTATTTCAAGGGAAAGCTATGCCAACAAAGCCACCTGAGATCTCTACCAATGTATTCATAGTCCCCTCTTAGTAGTACATTGTCAAGGTGAAGTAATCTGAGTCTATTCATCTTTTTAAATGCTTTTGTCTGAAAATGCATTTTTTCAGTTTGTGTCAACTTCAAAGCTAGCCCTTCAATAGCATTGGTTCCCTGCGAAATAAAAGCTTATCAAAACCAGAGTGTGCACCACACCTAGTATTTGTGGCCACAAAATGTGTTTTAAAATCAATAAGAAACCATATGGTTTCTATGACCAATTCATTAATACCTATATAGGCTAAAGAAGTTCTTACCGTGCATTTTGATAACACAGCTTGTACATCCCCATGAAACCATAATCTACTTCGCTCTCCAGGTTCTTTTGGTGACTGTTCACGTATTATTTCTCTTCCCATGTCCCGCAACAAATCATGCATTCCAAGTTTGTTGCTTCTATCAATGGTTACAAGGCTTCGCTCCTTAAGGACGCTTATGCCAATATCAGCAAAAACTCCACAACCATTCAATATTTGTGTCACATCATTCCTGTCCTTCCCAATAAAAAAACAAGCTATATCAAGAAATATTTCCTTCTCCATTTCATCATTTAAACCATCAAAACTTATTTTTAACTTATTTTGTATCTCATTGTTGGGAATTCTTTTTAGTTTCTCCAATGCATTTTTCCACTCTATCACTTCTCTATCAAACAAATAAGAGCCCAAGACTTCAAGAGCTAGTGGTAATCCCCCTGAATAAGCAACTATATTTCTAGACAGTCTAGCAAAATCTTCTTTAGGACCTGCTTGCTTAAATGCATGCCAGCTGAAAAGCTCAATAGACTCATTTTGGCCCATAATTTCCATTTTATATACACAATCAACTCTAAGAACATTGAGTAGATGTTGATCTCTAGTAGTGATGATTATTCTACTCCCTTGTCCATACCATTCACGACTTCCAGACAAAGCATTTAGTTGCTCTAATTTATCCACATTATCAAGTGCAACAAATGCCCGTTTATGGCGAAGTCTATCCCTCAATGTGGTTTTTCCGGATTCAATGCTATTTATAGCCATCTTTGTTGTTTTACAAATTTCTAAAAGAAGTCTGTTTTGCAGATAAATTTGGCCATTATCTTGCTCCCAAATTTCCCTGATATTTGAAAGAAAACTTCTACTATCAAATGTGTGACCAATTTCATTGTAAATGGCTTTGGCAATGGTTGTTTTGCCAATTCCCCCCATTCCCCATATCCCTACCAAGACAACATCTTTTGATTGATGCTTCTGGAGCATTGAAATCACATCTTGCACGCGAGAGTCAACTCCAACTGGGTGATCTGTGACAAACAAGTCTTTCTTGTCCAATATATTGCAAACATGCTCAACAATGTTCTCAATATCCTCACTTTCATTCCTGTGAATTACAAAGAAGAATAGTAGAAGAGGAAAATATATTTATATAAGCATGGTCACAAATAAAGTTATGATATTAAAAGCACTATGAAGAAGAATAGTGGAAATTAAAGGAGGATTAATTCTATAAGGATGGTCACAAATAAAGCAACTCATGACATCAAAACAACGTGTGCCAGAATAAGAGGCAAAATTATGGGCAAACTAGAAGGAAATCCAATTGGAACTAAACCTATCTATGGTGACAACAATAACAACACGTAAGTATCATTGAAACTAAAAGGTATCAATAACAGACTAAAAATAAAAAATTGAAAATTTGTCACAAAAAAACTTCGGTGGCATTGAGGGAATAACCTGCCATATATTTTGAAGACCACTGAAACTAAAGTTGACAAAATAAGAACACAACAGAACATTAATTCAATTAGGACTAATGAAATTTCCATGTATTAGGTTCCACTCTATCGAAGAAAGTGTAAATTTCAAACAAACTTTTTATTTATTTATTGTGACACTTAAAATACTTATTTGCCATAGAATACATTATATTTAGATTAGATTATAAAATTCACTCGAAATTTAAAAACAGTAGGGTTAATCAAGTCTATCAACTTGGCATTTTTTTGGTCGAACATCAACTTGACATCTTCATAGGATTCTAATATTGCAATTTATTGTGGTGATCATGTTCTACAAATCAAGCTTCTGCTATACATGAGAACTATGAATCAAAAGGAACTCTATTTGTGTCCTACACCATTAACTAACATTGAATATGTTACAAAATGGTGATAAATATCTGAAAACGAGTTACATAACACTATATGTTCATCATAGATTGTTGGATGATATTAAAGGAAATCATTAGCCCTAATTATTTTATTAAATTTGAAAATAACAAATTAGCTACATAGATTACTAGTATATTCTTATGATCACTGATTTGTGCATGATGATAAGGGTTCCCTTGTTTAATATGAAATATGAATCAAATCTTTTACCCTAATGTATAAGATGTGTTTGTTTGACATAAATCTTGTCAGTTTTCACTTTTCAGGTTATGTATAATCTAAAATGTGTGTGTGAAAAAGATGAATCCATAATCAGATTATTTATATTTCAATAAATGTTACCAAGTGATACATCTAGATCTTTGCATCGTAAGTTAAATATCTTTTTTTTAATAGTATGATGGAACCCCCTCCTCTAATAAATTTAAAACAAGCAAAAACCAGAAAAATATACTACAAATGGCAGTGAAAATGCTATTGCTGAATAATAATATTTGATTACAAGGATGTTAATGATTCACACCAAACTCATATCCCTTGTACACTTAAACTACAGTTACAAGGACAGCACAAAATACACTCACGAACAGTAACATAAGCATAAGCCATAGGCCACTCACAAACAAACTAAGCAAAAGATAAAATAATGAAGAAAGATGACTTCCTTCACCCCAATACACTGGACCTTTAAGAGGCCAGAACTCTCCTCACCACTCTCAATATTCAAAATACTCCATGCCCTCCCTCTGCACGAAAGGAAAGATTTAAAGAGCCAAAAAGTTACAAAAGGTTGAACATAATCCTAGTTGAACCTAATTCCTATTCATACATCACTTTTTCCCCTTATGGCCAGGAACCTTTGGGTAATTCTCTTATCCGCTGGAAGTTAATTCTTTAGTCTCTTTCCTACATCATTTCCCTTCACATAGACTGTGTTATAGGCCTCAGGAAATGATATATAAATCTGTTCTAATTCTTCAGCTCTATCATAGTACAAGGAATAGGTCCTGTGGACAACAAAGATTATCTCTACCAAGCTATTGAGGGCAAAAGGTAGACTTCTCCCAACTAAGTTGCTACATATACGAGGGTGAGGACTTGAACCTCCAACTACTTGCTTAAATGACGACAACCCATATCACTCACGCCAACTTTAGTTGATAGTTAAATATCTCTCGTTTTGAATAGTCCGAGAACAACAAGTGCTACTTCTTTCATACATGTAGAGACTGTGGTTAATTTAATTAGCAATTAATAGTGAAATATGCTTTGAAGTAAATTGAAATGGAATTCTAGACTAACATATTATTTACATGATTAATAAATTTTCTTTTCTTTTCATTGGGGAGGGGAGTTTTAATCAACCATTATGAAGTGATTGAAGGAAGAATAATCCTAAGAGGCTCATTAATCCCAAAGTTCAAATTTAAATTGCTTCTTTGATTTTAGTTTTATCCAAAGCAATTTCATTTAACAACTCAATTGATTAGCTCAATTTAAACAAAAGTGTGACATTTGGAATTCAAACAACTTTTGACCACACACAAATCTTCTAGGGAGATCTTTACTCAGTCCATATTACTTGTCGGACTCCTACATTTGCAATTTACCCCATACCAAAGCATGAATAATTTGAGTCAAAATTACACTTGGTTTTTCTCACCCAAAAAAATCGATGTATGCTAAGCTGAATGTGAATAAGAAATTACCCTTGTGTTTTCTGCTGTTGAGGAACAACATTCCACCCAAAGAATGAATTATATATATATATATATATGAATCAATATGGCATTTATTTTCTTTCGATAACTAATTGATATATACTGTTAAGAATTTCAGCAAAAGCAATTGAAGCCGTAATAACTAAAAGGGGGGAAAAAGTACCTCGAGTCAAACACAACAAACCCTGCAATGCCCCCAACTTCACGCAATGCTATCCTCCATCTGAACACTTCATATTCTGCTGGTGAGATTCTAAGTATAAGATCTTCAAATGCTTCTCCAAAACTCGAAGTCAGGCGGCGAACGTCAGATGGATCCACGTCATAAAACACAGGCAAAACCACCAGACCCACTCTCTTGTGAAGTTCCATGATTTTTGACAGTTCCTCCAGACACCATCTCGAACCAGCATATCTTTTAGACAAGATGATGATTGAAATTTCAGAACTTTCAATTCCTTGTGACAGTTCAATTGATATATGGTTACCTCTCGGAATCTCAACATCATCTTTGAAAACATTAATGCCGGCATTACATAGAGATGAATAAAGATGTGAAGTGAAGGATGCTCTAGTGTCTTCCCCTCTGTAGCTCAAGAACACGTCATGTTTTTTGCCTGAATTATTATATTAGAAAATGAATTGCAATTTAATTTCTTCCTTTTTTCCCCCTTTACTTCAACCCACTCTTAAAAATCTTTGAAGCCGAAGTAAACAATATATAATATAGACAAGAAGAAGAAAGGCTATCTGAATGGGCCTGAAAAAACAAAAACAAAAAAAAAAGGAACAAGAAAGCATACCTCGAACTCGAGCTTTAAGAACAGCGCCACAACCACCACATTGATAAGCAATGTAACCGCGGGGCTCGGGAAGGATCTTTTTGCACTTAGGACATTTAACGAGCCGAATCTTCTCCATTTCCGACGTGGATGAGAAAAGCAGAGGACTATTCAGTCACCATGACCATCGAACTGAGAAGAAAAACAAACGCAGGGTTTTCTCGGAAGCAACGACGTTGAAGGGGGTAGTCCCACCTAAAGTTGCGAAAGCAGCGCACCTAGAATCTAATACATTATTGTTTAGGCAGGCGTATTTTTCTTTTTTTAAATGCGCGGACTGCATATAATAGATAAATGGATGGAAGATAGATATCGCATTGTTTACTTGAGGATTTTGTCATCATGTTTATGCACACGATAACATGCATATATTTAAAAAACTTATACTCCTTTCATTTAAAAATATAAAATATTTTTAACTAAATATCATTCTCTAATAAAATAATTATTTATTTTTAAATTAATCTTATTTTTTTATAGTTATCCCTATTAAACACTCTAAAATAAATATAAAGTCATTATCAATAAGGACACTTTTATAAAAAAAATAATAGTTATATTTTGAAAGATTAAAAATATCTTATATTTTTTAACATTTAACTTTTTTAAAAAATATTTTATCTTTTTTAACGGAGGGAGTATATCATTAGTCAACACTATATATAATAAATTACTAATGTGGGGTTAATGCATGAATCTTATCACATTTTTATAGACATTGTAGCATGCATATATGTAAGAAACTTGTATATTATTATTTAACTTGATCACATAAATTATATATAATAAATGGATATTATATTATTTACATATGCACATTTCATATTCTTTACAAATATTGTATTGTACATTCACATGGGAAATTTGTATATTTAAAGCAAATGTGTCTTTTCATGAAAAAACATATTTGAATTTGAGGCATGTGGGCTTGCAAAAACAATTTAGAATATAGAGTTAAAAGGATGATTTTTTCCATTCTAATGGCCTTATATGAAAATCTTCCTTTAAAAACATATCTAAGAAATCATCTATTAAGAACATGCAATAGTCTAAAGTGAAAAAAATACACGAGTATCCGTGAAGTTATTTTTTTCATATATCTTAGTTAACATTGTTGACTTTTAACGGTTTGATCACAAATGTATTAAAAAAAATAATTTCAGAATGCCTATATATTTTTTCTCACTTTAGGTCACTAGGTATTTCTGGTCAATGATTTCCTAAGTATTTTTGCTCCTTTGCCTTATAATAAGGATCCAACCCAATGCAATATTGCAAATTTTAGTTCAATACCATTATGTCACGATGGCTGATGATAATAAGCAAATTCACAATAATTTAACATGAGCATAGCTGTTAACTCAAAAACCCAGTCCATATTTATCTTAATTATAAGCCCACCATGACACATTATTAATGGTTTTACTCGTGGAGATAATTATTCAACAAAGTTGACTATCTACGAACAATTGCATTAAATGTGAAAAATACAGTGTCATCTATTTGGCATACAATCATGAAACTGTCAGTATGAGAATTATACGTTGAATGTCATCATATGGATAAAATTGCTTGATCATTGTGTATAGGCAGTCTTCTATGTAAATGTTCAGATTAAGAGTTTTTTTTTTTTCATTTTTCCTTGTTTTTTAGTTGTCAATTTGGATATATGAACATCATCCTAATAATTATTATGCAGTCTGTTGTAATGGTTGTGTTGTGAAATTCTTAGGTAGAGCTAATGTACCATATCATTTATAATCCATCCACTAAAAACATAGCATACAGATGACATTAAATGTAAGTTAATTTTAATATTAATGATGGTATAAAAAGAAAAAGGATAAAATTAAACAAACATTCTATTATAAAAATAAACTCATTAAAAATAATAACATAATATTTTATTTAATTGAATTAGTATAACTTTATTGAATGAACGATGAATAATGTGATGCATTAAGTCTGTCACAGAATTTTTCTAGTTGTGTTTGGATCAATATATCTTTTATTTATACAAAAAGTATCAATGTTTTGGTTTCTGTTTTGTTAGAACCTAATTAGTCGCCTGTAAATCTAAAAACGCATCCATCATATCTATGCCACCAGAATCGATTGTTCCGATAAAGTGATGGCATTTATTTTAAGAACTTTGAATATTTATCATAGTTGCGAAATTGATCTGAAGTATCATAAACAATTTCATTTAAAAAAAATACGAATTGATATTTGCCATCAGATTCAATTTATAAATTAAATTACTTAATCAATTTTACGCAATATGCGAATGTTGCAGTAAAATAATTGTTGTTTTAAATATTGTTTTACATTCTACCACTTCTATAGAATTGGCCATAATGATGGTTTTTATTTGATGGTTATTGAAGGAGCCGTCAAATATGTAAAGGTGGGATTGCATATTTGATAGTTCCCTCCGTTGATCATCAAATCTAATAAAATATAGTATTTAAAGTTTGACGGTTGTGAAGGAAAACCATTAAATTAAAAAAAAATATTTTTTTTAAAAATATTTTATATATTTAACAATTTTAACAAACAACCATTAAATATTATGTAATATACTTGATAGTCAGTGGCAGATGCACTTATGGTTGAGAGTGGGCAAGCACCCCCTTAACTTGGAAAAAATTATGAGGTAAGAGTTTTAAAAATTTGTCCTCATTACCCCTATAATTTTGAACCTACTAAACTCAAATTAAAATATTTCAATTAAAAAATATTCAGGTATTTATATTTCACTTAAGTTCAATAAATTTTAATTTTAAATTCATTATATTTAACTTTATATTACTTTTATAAAAATTAATTTTAATTTTTTTAATATTTTACAAAACTAAAGTCAAACCAATTATCATTTCAATATTTTATCATTATAATTTCACATATTTGATAGTCAAACAATAATTGGTTATAACTACTTTATCAATTATTTTTAACTATTACTTTAATATTTTATAATTATAATTTTATATATTTAATAGTTAAGTTGATCATAACTTACTAATTGTAAAAGAAGTATTGTCTTTACACTCTAATTTTAAATTACACTTAAGTTTTAAGGATCTAAATGCGATTTTAAAATTTCATGAGATATATTTATAAATAAATTTATTTTATGAAACTTATATATGTAATTTTCCCTTAAAAAAAAAAATCGAAGGTAAGGATAAACGGTTACCCTGGTTGTTCATACGCTCGTTCATCAGATCCATGGAATCTTCCCTCCATGTCCGCTTGAAAGATATCGGACTGTTGGAACGTTCAATAGTTTTTCTGAGGAGCAGGAAGAGAATCTGTTAAAAGCGGAGCAGCTAGCAAATCAAGATACAAGATCTATAAATGAAACGAAGATATGGAGGGGAAAAAAGGAAATACAGATACGAAAAGAAAAAAAAAATGCAGATCGTGCGGAAAGTTACCTCAGAATTGCTTGGTTGGTGAAAGAGACACGATCACGAATCTAGTTTATGATAAAGATCAGACAAGAGAAGGAGATTTATACGTGAGGCTCTTGCTGCTTCTATATACTGATCATGAAGGTCTATGGTGAAATAAAGTACGGCAACCAGCTCCAGGAAAGTGAATGGAAGAAATTAAACATCAATATTCTTCTTCACATCGACTCAGAAAGTACCTATTGGAACAGAAATTTATTCATAATAATTGATCAAAACAGAGAGATTATGACGCAGTGAGGCTACAAAGAAGGTAGCTACCAGGAAAGTGAAGGGAAACCAAGCTGTGGAAAAGGAGGAAAGCGATCTAATGCAGACAACAAATATTCCAAGTAATGAAGTATCTTTTAAAAAAAAAAAATCTATGCAAGTTTGGGGCACGATTTTTACAAAAAGGATCGGGAAAAAGGAAAAAAAAGCTTGGGACACGAGAAAGTGGTGATGAATCGTTTAAATAAAACTATAAAAGCAAGCATTTTTTATTTATTTTAACTTAAACCACTTTTATCCCATCTCTGCTCTACATTTTTATTAAAAAAAAAAAAGTAGACGAATTAAATTCAAGAACGAGGCATGCCTCCCAACCTAGGTAAAATTTTATGGATTGAAGATAGTAATACACCATTAGTGAAGTTATTATGAAATATAAAATTCATAATAAGTGGTATTATTCTAGTACTTTTTTAAATGATAAATTTATTTTAGTTTTATAAAAAGAGATAATTAGAAGATTATGTTTATTTTGAATAATATATCTATTAAAATATAAAGATAATATAATATCCACACCAATTTTTTTTAAAAAAATATAATTAGAAAAGTTGAATTAATCTAAACCCACCGTTCACTTTGAAGCGAGCCAATTCACGTCAATTCTTGGTTTCCCTTTGATAACTTGGTCTGAGTGAGACCCATCTCTAACTTTTCTCCTGTATACTTTCACAACCTTTTAGGGTCTTACAGATTGAACACACTATTTGTTCATCAAATGAGTCACAAATAAATCTTGAGCTGAGAAAACGAGCTTACTCGGCCCTTAACGGGGTCGAGCCTAAAAGGATTAACCTGTTTAAGCCTGAGTTCTCTTTAAGAGGCTTAATACTAAAGCCCAACCTTAAGTATAACAGGCTTAAGGCCGACCTTGAGGGTTTTGAGTCCTTTTGCTTTTTTTCTTTTTTTTTTTTTTTCAAATTGACATTGGTTCAATCTTTTCACTAAAACAAAAAATTTTACTCCAATATCAAATCACATAAGCTAAACAACAATAAACAATAAACAAACTAACCAACCACAATAAGCAAGTTGCAATAAGCTCAACAACAAGTAGCAATAACCAAACAAACAAAATAACATCTAAATGAGCTAGATGTTAAAAACACAATCCAAATGAAAATAATAGCATGCAATGAAGCTAAGGTTAGCTGAATCTATCTAGTATCCACAACTAAAAACCACAGTCTCATAAAAATCTTTAAATCATTACACATGAATACTCAATAATTCAAACATTGGTAGCATCATCATCATCTTCTTCTTCTTCTTCACTGTCATCAAGCTCAACAAAATTCAATTGTGATCCACTTATAGCTGGTTCATTAGGGGCAAAAATATCAAGATTTTCTTCTTCTTCTTCACCTTCATTATCTGCAATAAATAATAAACAAAAATACTTACACAATTATAGTTATTATTTATTATGTTGTTTGCATGGCAAAAAAATAAAATAACTATAAATTAAATTTACCATTGTACACAAAATCATGTAAGCAATTACGAACACAAATGATAGCCTGAACATCAGTTGAAAGAATGGAACTTTGGTACTTTGTTAGGACGTGTGAACCGATGCTAAAAGCTAATTCACTAGTTACTGTAGTGATCGAAATACTAAGAATATCAGATGCCATCTTGAAAGAATTGGATATCGATGTTGATTACTTTTCAACCAGTTCAAGACATCCAATTCTTTGCAACTATCAGGCTTAAGTATTGGTTCCTTCAAATGATTTTCAAATTCAGACTTATTCAAGGAAGAATGATTCATAATTGCAAAAATATCTTGATAATCCTGCATCATGTATTTATAAAGGATTAGAAAATATCAAATAAAGACTAGATTAGTGAAAAAAGTGAAAGAATTTAAAAATACAAGGAATTTAAAATTTACATCAAATGCACTATCAAAAGAGGTTGATGTTGAAAAGCTTGAAGCCAAGGAAGAATGACGAGTAGTAACTGTTGAAGCTCTACAACTTGATCCACTTAAAGCCCGACCAACTCCAAAATTGGTAGATGTCCCCATACTTGAATATTCATTAAACATGAATATTAACTGGCTCTTAATATTAGCAACATTCTCATGGCAAGTGATAGGGTCAATCTTTGTATGGCAATATTAAATTATATTAAGCTTCTATCTTAGATCGAAAACTATTGCAAGGGCAATAATGACACTGTACTCATTCTAATACTTGTCAAACTTTTGTTTCATTTTCCTAGCCACCTCTTAAATCATAGGATCGGGGCTCTTCATATTTGCATCAAGCAACATCTCAATTTTGGAAATTTGCATAAAATAAGAGTTTGAAGTAGGATATGATGACCTAAAAATTAACCTTGTAATCTTCTCAATTGCCTCAAGAAGGTGCACATTGCATCAGCTCTAGCTCACTCATCATGTGTGAGACGAAACTTGTAATTTGTATCATTTACAGCCATGTGTGCAAAAGCACGATGATATTTAATTCCACTCTCAAGCATCATGTAAGTGGAGTTTCATCTAGTGGACACATCTAACCGTAAGCCCATTAAGGTGTCAATGCTACCAACTTGCTCAACATATTGTTTAAAAAGAATTGACCTTGCCTCTAATGCTTTCACAAATTTAATACTTTCTCTAATCTTGTGCAAAGCAGAACTTGTAACTTTCAAACCTTCCTGAACTATCAAGTCTAGAATATGAGCACAACACCTCACATGAAAAAATTCTCCATTACTTACTAATTTGAAATCATCTTGAAAACTTAACCTCTCTTTTAATATGTCTTGCATATTATCATTTGCAGATGCATTGTCTAAAGTATTGAGAATATTTTGTTCTCAATCCCCTAATCAATCAAATGTTCATGCACTTTTCCAACTAAATCTATCCCAAAATGTTGAGGTTCTATTTTACAAAATGAAAGTATTTTACTACACAATTTCTACCTTTTATCTACAAAATGTGCTGTCAAACAAATATACCCTTCAAAAGTCACAGAAGTCCAACAATTAGATATCAAACAAATTCTACTATTACTTCTCTTCAACTTTTGTTTTAGATTTTCTTTTTGTCAAAGGAAGAATTTCATAACATTAGCAATAATAGTTTTTCTACTATAGAGCCTACTAACATTAGGATTCAATGTCAAAAGTAATTCTTTGATCCACTTGTACTCAACAAAGAAATAAGGAAGATCATGTTCAATTATGGCCATACTTATAATCCCCCGCATTTGCATGTTATTAATTTTTTGACACCTAATATTGCCTTCTTTATCCAATAATATTACTCCAATATCATGAAACTTGTCTAGAACTTTTCAAGACCCAGCATGCCTGCAATTAAAAGAGATTAATTTAAAATTTTAAATATATTTACAAAGTTAGAGTAAATAATAAAGTAATTAAGTATATTTTATTAATTTTTGGGAGAAGATTTGATAAGATTTATTGGTGGTTTAGTGGTGATTTTATTTGCTAAACGCCCTCAGGATTTTGGGTTTGATTTTTTTTGGGCCCAAAGTGAAGCATTTTGTTTATTTTAGCCAAACCTTTTGAAATTACAAAAATGACATTAATAAGAAGCCAAACACGCATAGGCTTTCACATTTTCCTTCCCCATTTGCGATTGTTCCAGAACGAAGGGGAGAGAGTGAGAGCTCGGTGTGCCATCTTTCGTCCTCTCTTTCGATCATCTATTGCCAGCGATTGTGGGTGTGCTGTCCACCATTGTGAGGGGTTCTGTAAGCTTTTGATTTCTTCCTCCTCCTCTGTTTTAGCGTTGGGTGCTTTCCTTCTCTCTATCTCTGTTGTGCGTTGTTACTGTCTTGGGTGAGTGGAAGGGCTGGATTCTTTCTTTCCATTTCTCCTTTGCTTGTTTGTGAGTTCAAGCTTCATTTGTTCCCTCCCTTGTTTCAAAATTATGTGGCTGTGGTTGTTGAATGGATTATTGTAACAGAGATAGAAAAACTGATTCTCCCTCATTGTTCTTGCTTGTTGAGTAAATGCAAGAGTAGTTTGGATCTGGGCAAACTGAAATTTAAGTTCAAAGAGCATGAATTTTGATAAACGATTCCACTTTAGTCGCTTTCTTGGGTGAAAAAAATGGGTAGGGATTCATGCACGTATTAGTGACTGAATGAAGTCTTAGCTAAAGCTGTATTGCATTTTTCTTATTTAACTGTGCCAAGTGCTTTTGTTCTTATCATATTGCCTATTATTTTATTTTATAACGTAGTGTTGGTTGCTGTGTTTGTACTCCTCTCTTTTAAGATTGATTCTTGACAAGGAATTGAATTTGAGAAGCATAATAAATTTAAATGATGAAGATGATTGGAAAAATTTTGGAAGAGATATTTAAAGAATAGGATGGTGGCTGTATGGTTTGATTTGAATACACACAAGGCATTTGGTAAATTGTTTGATAGAAGAATTTTAGTCTAGGATAGCAAATAAATATAAGAAATGTAGTATTGTTAACTAAATTATTATTGAAGATAATTATTCTCTATAATGAAAGGTGAGAAATAAAGATAGAAAATTTGAAAAAAGGAATTTGGTTAATAATTATATGTTCAAGTTTGTTGTTCTTATGTTAGATTTTGGTACATATAAAGCGTTAGATGAAATGTTTGAGTGAAGAAAGTTTATGAAATTAGATATACTTGAGTAATAATTTTAATCAAATCATAGAAGTTTTTTATTTTCTATAAGTAAACTTGAAAACTTTGAATATTATTTAAATATGTGTTTGTTGAAGATTTATCATTTAATTCAATATGGCTTCTTATTTGTGAAATGTTGATTTTGAGATTCTCCTTGTCAATTCTCTAAATTTGTTTCAACTAAAGATTTTGGATTTATAAAGTGTACAAAAGAAACAACAATAATGTCCCTTTGGACATTTGGGAATTAAGGCACAGACAATATTACAAAAATACTAATCAACAGTAAATTATATATTTGGAAATGTGTCAGGTAAGTGGATAACGTTTCATTTAATTTTTTAATAAAAATTTTCTTTACTAAAATAGTACATTTTTATGCAAATTATTTAATAACAATGATGTGTTTATTGAATAGTTTATTTATTAAACTTCTTTATTTCGCGAAAACTACCTTTATCGGTTTTTAAAATTTAATTGATTAATAATTACAAGTTTGGATTTTGATTATATATTTTATTTTATCGAATATTGGATTGTTACAAGAATAATTCATGTAAGTTTGACTTTGAAAATAAAAACTTTATTTATTTCAATGATTTTCTCGCATGTTTGAAATTAAATTTAAAAGGGACTTATTACAAAGCACTGATTGCTAACGGCAGTTCCGTTAGCTCTTGGCACATCATGGTTATGACTAGTTAATTTGACTTTCTTGAGCATCGCATTCACGTTTGTTATTTGTCACATCCCAAAAATAGACATGATCGAAACAGGATAGAAACACAAATACATATACTTTAAACCTTGATCGTGGAAACATTGACTTAATATCTTAACTCATTTGAAATAGGATTAGAGAATCACTATAACCCATTCATGCAAACAAAAAGATTCCAAAATTTTCTATGGAAATTTTGATAAGACCTTCCCTAAGAAAATAGGATTCCCTAAAAGTTATACAACAATATTATCATAACAAAATAATAATAAGTGAGTTCAGTACCTACCAGCAGACCAACAATACAGATAGTAACAAGGATTATAACTATAGTTTATGTGGAGCATTTGAAATAAAATTCGCAAAATACAAAAATATTTTTTAGGTTTAAATTGAAGGGAGATTACCAAAATAATGCTCCAACTTCAACTTGACATTCCACTCCTCAACGATCATCTAAAGGTACAAGATCGACTACATTATCTGAGAACAAAAATTTTTAGTGAATAACGTCCTAACTTACAGTTGAAGAATTAATTGAAAGTACGTCAATAAATCAAGTATAAACTTAGTATAATAATCAATTAAAAATAGTATAAGCATATACCTCAAAATATCAATACCAATAACTATATAAAGTATACAACATGAATGTAAATATTCAATTAAAAATTATAAAGAATTCAAGTTTCACCTTTAATTTTCACGTATACTTAAAACGCCTTGGAATTTGTGTTGCTCAATGTAAAATTCATATATGGTAAAAAATAACCATTTGCTTTTCAAGAACCAACCTATGAAAAATAAACTTCAAAACTCTTTATTTAGCAAGACTTAATCAGAATAATTAACAAACGTGGACACAAAGTTTATGAGGGCAAATAACCAACGAGCGTGGACACACAACCACGAGGGCAAGTAACCAAGCATGGCAAAAGCCACGAAACAAGCATGACAAGAGTCATGAAACAAGCACGGGAAAAGCCATGAAACAAGTGTGAATACAATGCTCACAAATATCCATCCCTCCATTCAACGTGTGTTGGCCTGCACACGGGGCTAGCATTTCCTACAAACACCCTGCTAGCTAGATGTACCATGACGCGCCAAAGGCTAACGAAACTGTCGTTAGCAACCAGCGTTCTAATTTAATCCCATTCCAAATCAAATATACGTGGATATAACATCAGCATGATTTTCTCTTACATATAAATCAACACAACAATTGCATTCAGGTATTCATTTGAAGTGAATAACTCCAAATATTTCTATAAAATTTATTTATGTAGAAAACATTTTAAATTCAATTGTCGTTAATAAATTTAAAATAAC